TATATGAATTTTTTTACAACAATGGTTATTGTACTAATTTATTACCCCGAGCAAGTATATGCTCGAGAAAACTAAAAAAAAATAATGAAATAAAAGAATATTTTGAATACGAATTTAATACTTTTTCTTTTAGAAGTTTTAATTGGGTACATAAAATGTTCTATAAAAATGGAAAAAAAAGAATAAAAATAAATTTATTAGAAAAATATTTAGATCCATTAGCTTTAGCTATTTGGATTATGGATGATGGATGTTTTACTAAATATGGAGTAAGAATAGCAACAAATAGTTTTACTTTAGAAGAAGTTGAATTTTTAAGAGATTTATTAAAAAAAAAATTTAATTTAAATTGTATAGTTCAAAAAATTCAAACTAAAAGTCAATGGTCTTTGTATATTAAAGCTGAATCTATGAAAAATTTAAGAGATTTAATATTACCATATATTCATCCAAGTATGTTATATAAAATAAATTTAAAAAATAAAAATTAAATAAAAAAAAAATTTGAAATATAAAGTTCTTTTAACACAAATATAAATATATAATAGTCGTGAGTATAAAATAAAATTATTTTATATTCTAAGATTTCGACAGAAATCTTTAAAAATTTTATAAATAATTTTTATTTATGAATTTTTAGGCGATACAAGTGAAAACGGTTAAAATATAATAAAATTTCAATACCGTATAATTATACAAGACCGTCAGTAAATAATTTTATTTTTTTATTTATTGCTACAGACTTGGTCACTTGTGGGTCCGTGTATGTATTAATACATCTGAAGGGCTTTATGTATAGTCGATTATTGTCAAAATATATTAATATATTGACATTGCACCAATGGTATTGGAGTTACGAATATCCTGATTATAATAGTGATATTTCATTTGATTCATTTATGCAACCTACAGAAGATTTAGAAAAAGGACAATTTAGATTATTAGAATTAGATAATAATCCTGTTTTACCTGTAGGTATACCTATAAAAATTATAACTTCTTCAAGTGATGTATTACATAGTTTCGCTATTCCATCTGCCGGTTTTAAAATTGATGCTGTACCTGGTAGATTAAATACAATAACTTGTAATTTTGATAGAAAAGGTACTTTTTATGGTCAGAAATGAATATTGGCCATAACCATAGTAAACCTATGGTTATAAATCATCAAATTGACGGGAACCCCCTAAAGAAATCTTAACCAAGTAAGTATGGTAACATAACTTATGGCACAGGTAATGACTCGTGGTATGGTAAAATCAAGATTTATAATTCAATGGGAAATCCGCAGCCAAGTACCCCTCTTTGAGAGGTATGCAGTTCATCGACTAAACGGTGGTTGGTATTATTAATAATGCTTAAGATATAGTCAAACCCTACCCGAAAGAGTACAGGAGATTATGAAAAAATTTTATAAAATTTTCATAATCTCTGTTAAAGAAAAATTTAAATATATTTAAATTTTTGGGGATTAAAATTCTACAATAGTTTGCTAAACTTATTATTTTAATATAAAAATAAATCTTAAAAATAATATTATAATAAAAAATAAAACATATATAAGTTTTGATTTTTCACAATTTTTACGCTATTGTAATATTTTTATTGCATAATATATTTAATAAAAGTATTTTAAAAAATCATTTTATAATAAATAAATATCCATTATATAGATTAAATTTTATAGCTGTAATACCTTTAATTAGATCTTTTAGTACTAATATATTAAAATATTCAGTAAATAATCCAGAGTCTTTAGCTATAAAACATATAAATAGTGGTAAGTCTATCACTCATTCAATTATTAATAAAATATTATTAAATCAAAATTTATCTATTACTAATAATAAATTAGAAGATTTATTAAAAGTTAAAGGCATAGAAATTAATTTACCTGTGGTAACGCTAGAAGATAATAAACTTTTAGCTGAATTAACAGGTAAATCAAAATATAAAGGATTCTTTGGTGTATATATATTTATACATAAAAAAACAAATCAAAAGTATGTCGGTTCATCTAATTTATTAAGACGTAGAATGAATTATTATTTTAAAGGTAATTTTCCTTTAGCTGGTAAATTTTTACCTATTCTTCATAAAGAAGGATTAGGAGCTTTTAAATTAAAAATATTTAAATTAGATAATAATAAATTTAATAGTCAAGATGCTTTAATATTAGAACAATATTTTTTATTAAATAAAAATTTTGATTTAAATACTTTAAGAGTTGTAAATGCAGGATCTTCTAAAGGTAAAGGTGTTTATATATATGATTTAACTTGTAGTATTTTTTATTATCATGCTAAATCAAAAATAGAATTAAAAAGAATTTTAAAAATACATCCTGAAACTTGTAAAAAATATATAGATTCTAAAGTCCCTTATTTGAATAACTTTTTGTTATTTAGTTATCCTATATCTACAGCTGTAATTGGCAGTATACCAATTATGGAATTAATAAATATAATGCAAAAAGAAAGACAAGCTATGTATATATTAGGAACTCGTAGGAATATTTCTGTCATATTAGAAATTAAAGAAGGAAATACTTTTGTAAATTCTTCTATTATAGGTCATACTTTAAATTTTTATTCTTTAACATCTTGTATAGAATATTTAAGAAAATTAGGTTTAATTATAAAGAGAGATACTCTCACTAAATATATAAAAAATGAGAAAATATTTTCTCATTTTTTATGTAAGTACTCAGATAAAATTTTACCAAATAATTTTGAAGAGGTAGGATTAATAATTGAAGAATATAAAAAATTAAAAGTAGATTCAGATTCTTTAAATATTAATAAAAAAAATAAACCTATATTAGTAAAAGGAAAAAATTTAGAAAAAAAATTTGAAAGTATTACGAATTCAATTAAATATTTTGAGACTTTAGGTATTAAGTTAGATCGAAAAACTTTATATATTCATTTAAAAAATGGTAAAGAATATAAAGGTTATTATTTTTTTTATGAATAATTAGTAATTAAACTTTTTTTTTGTAAGGTAGTAATTATAAAATATGTATTTATAATTTTTTATATTAAAATAATTGTAGATTTAAATTGCAATGTTCAGAATTATGTGGTGTATTTCATTTTGGTATGCCAATTCTTTTTGAAATAGTTTCAATTAATGATTATTTTACTTGGTTAAATTCTTTTGATGATTAAAATTTATTAATATAAAATTAATTTTATATTAATTTAATATATTAAATTAGAAATAATCTTTTTTATTTAATTTAAAAAATTAAATAAAAATATATATATTATTTAAGGAATAATATAAATAAATAAATCCTTAGCTAAATTAAATTAATAAAATAAAAAAAAAAATGAATCTAAATTTTATACGACATATTTTATTACTTGTATTAGGTTGTTATTTACTAAGACATACTCAAGAATTACTTTTTTTATTAAAATTATCACTAAATGAATTATATATTTATTTTAATATATATGGATTAGAATATTTTCGTACAGATAGTTCTATTTCAAATCATATGCATATAGTATATAATGAATATAATAACATCAGAAATATAAAACATATTATACCACAACCACCTACAGTAGACCCTTTAGTAATAAAAGAAATGTATTATGTTGCAGGATTTTTAGTTTTAATTGAGATTGTATTTCTTTCAAAATATATATTATTTATAAATAATATATAAATAATATATATTTTAAAATTTATATAAATTAGTTTTATTTCTCTTATTTAAAAAAATTTCTTTCATTTTTTTAATTCTATTTAAAATAAATCTTTATATTAATTCTATATAAAATTATTAAAATTTATATATTAATTATATTTGATAAAAGAATTTTTATAAATATTCATTATAATGAATATTATTTACAAATTATAATTCATAATATTAAATAAATAATATTAGGTAGTTAAGTAAAAATTATCTATATATTTTATATAACATATATTTATAATTTTTATATACATAAGTATATTTAAAATTTAAAATATATATATAAATATTAATTAAATTAAAAAAATAAAAAATATTTTTATTATTATTAATATTTAATATTGTTTTTATGCCAGATTAGCTTAATTGGTAAAGCAGTAATCTTGTAAATTACTTTATATGGATTCAAATTCCTTATCTGGCTATTATTAACCTACTTGGAGAAATTGGTAGACTCAAATGACTTAAAATTGTTTGCACTTTGTGTGTGAGGGTTCAAGTCCCTCAGTAGGTAATAAAGAGAAGAAAGCATTTTGGTATTGCAATCGCCCTGTAAAGGCGATGGTTTTTAACCATTCTGGGTTCAAATCCCAGTCTTCTCAAAAATAATAAAAGGGGAGATAGCTTAATGGTAAAGCCTACTGCTCATAACAGGAAAGATGTGAGTTCAAATCTTACTCTCCTCAAAAAAATAAAATGTGAATAAGTGTAACCGTTTTGCACATAAGACTCATTATCTTAAAGAGATTGTTCAATTCAATCATTCGCAAATTAAAGATCTCATCATCTAAAGGTAGGATCTGGCACCTTCACTGCCATAATGTTCGTTCGAATCGGACTGAGATCAAAAATTTTAAAAATAAATAATAAATAAAAGGAATCGTAACTTAAAGGTTAAAGTGTTTGCTTGATAAGCAAAAAATAATGGTTCAATTCCATTCGATTTCAATAAATAAAGATTAGATATCTTAATGGTAAAGTATCGGGCTGCAAACCTGATTATGAGTGTTCAATTCACTCTCTAATCTTATAATAAATAATAAAATAAAGGAGTATAACTTAATTGGTAGAGTAACAAACTTTTAATTTGTATTATTTGGGTTCAAGTCCCAATGCTCCTAAATTATAAGCCTTGATAGCTTAACAGGTAAAGTACGGAACTGAAAATTCTGGATAGGATGTTCGAGTCATCCTCAAGGCATAAAAATAGAGCTGTAGTAGCTTAATGGTAAAGCAAATCACTGTTAATGATCGGATCTCTGTTCAATTCAGGGCTATGGCTAATAAAGGAAAAATCGCCTAATGGTATGGCAATAGTTTGCTAAACTATGGATGTTAAACATTCATGGGGGTTCGAATCCCCTTTTTTCCGAAAAACAAAAGGGTAAATATTTTCCTATAAAAAAAATTTAAAATAAAATGAAATTAGCTTTATTATTATTTTTAATAGGTATTTATGGTATAATTTTAAATAGAAGACATTATCTTTTAGTATTAATATCTATTGAAATATTATTATTAGCTATAACTATATTAGTTCTTTATTTTTCTATTCTTCATGATGATATGTTAGCTCAAATATTCGGTTTATATATAATATCTATAGCTGCTGCTGAAACAGCTGTAGCTTTATCTATATTAGTAGCTTATTATAGATTAAGAGGTACAATAAATATTACTACAATATCTGAAAAAACTACTACTTTACTTCCTAAATTTACATTATAAATAAAAATTAAAAAATAAAAAAAAAAGAATTATAATTATAATTCTATAAAATTAATATATAAATTAATAATTTTATATATTTTATAAGGGTAGATGACTGAGTTGGTTTAAGGTGCTTCGCTTGAAACGAAGAGAAGTTTTGAATAACTTCCATGGGTTCAAATCCCATTCTGCCCGTACGGATAGTGGCGTAATAGGTAACGTGTCTAACTTGGGATTAGAAGATTATAAGTTCAATTCTTATCTATCCGATATAATAAAATTATTGATATATTTTTAATGAGTAGTAGAGTATTAGAAAGTTTTTTTTATAATATTATAAAAGGTTTAACTAATATTTTTGTTTTTTATGACATTATAAAAAATTTTAATTCTTTTTAGGTTTCAGATTCTTCTGATTTTGGTTCTAGTTTATTTAATCAGTAATTTTACTTTATTTGGTACAGATAATTTTTCTTTATTAGATATTAGTAATTCTTCTTCATTTAGTAATTTTAATAAATCTAAATTAAAATTAAAAAAACTGTTGAAATAGTAAGAAATAAAAATAATTTATTTCTTTTAATATAAAATTATTTAAATATAAGTATACCTTCTGATTTTGAACCATTAATAGAATTTATATTTGGTATATTTTAATAAATTTAGTATGTTTATTTTTTATAGTAAATTTAATTATTTAATTAATAAATGACTTAAATAAAAATATTTTATAAATTTATATAAAAATATTAATTGGATTTTTATTACCATTAAAAGAAATAATATATTTATTACTTTTAATAGTTTAATGATAATAAATGTAATATTAATCTAATTTATATAGAGAAGAGACATATTAATGTATAATTTCAAATGGATTAAGGAATGTTGATTAATTTGAAATTATTTATAAAAGAGGTTAAATAAAAAATTTATATTACTTGAGGAATAATATAAATAAATAAGTCCTTAGCTAAATTAATTAATATAAAAAAAAAAAAATGAATACATTATTATTATTTATTATATTAACACCTATTATATTAATTTTATTATTATTAATAAATCTTATAATACCTGTTAATAAACCGGATTTTTCAAAATTATCACCATATGAATGTGGTATGGATACAATAGGTACAGCAAGAGAAAAATTTAATATACAATTTTATTTAGTTGCTATATTATTTTTAATATTTGATATAGAAGTAATATTTTTATTTCCTTTTGCATCTGTTTTATATAATATTTCTTTTTTTGGTTTTTGGATAGGAACTATATTTATATTTATTTTAACTATTGGTTTTATTTATGAATTAAGTAAAGGTATTTTAAATTTTATACAAAATTAAATTAATTCTTTATTTATATTTAGGGAAATAATTTAATTGGTAAAATGCTGGTCTCCAAAACTGGTTTTAAAGGTTCAACTCCTTTTTTCCTTGGATTTATAATTATTATAATAACACTCTTTACTTAATAGGTTAAAGTAATAATCTTCGAAATTATTTATATGGGTTCAATTCCCTTAGAGTGTTCTAAGGCGAATATAGTTTAATGGTAGAACTACAATTTGTGGCTTTGTAAATATGGGTTCAATTCCCATTATTCGCCCTTTATAAAATATAAATAGTAACTCGTTTAGCTTAATTGGATAAAGCATCGATCTTCTAAATCGTTTATTGTAGGTTCAAATCCTTCAACGAGTGTTTTTTAATTTATAATAATTTTATAAATAAATTAATATGCCCTTATAGATTTTATATATTTATTTATAAAATAACTAATGATTTATTTTATATTTATATTTTAAAATAATATTATTTATATAATAGTTTATATAAATAATTATTTAAAATAAAAGAATTTTATATTATTACTGATAATGAATTATTAGATTTTAATTTATTAAATTTAAACTTATAAAGCTATATATAAATATACAAATTAATAAACTTTCAAATGGTGTAAAACTATTAAAATATTCCATTAATAATTCTAAATTAAAATCTAATAATTTTTAGAAAGTAATTTTGGTTCATTGAGTAATTCTTTATTTATATTTATTTAATGTATATAGTGAAACTAATACAATTATTACACTGTTAATATATCTGTAAATACACTGAATATAAATTTTTGAATTAGAGCATTAAACATAGCTTGAATTCTTTTAATTATAGTTTTTTTTATTATATATTAAAGAAATAGATAGAATTAATATTGATGAATAATTTGTAGGAAAAATAAGTATTAATAAAGAAATAATTAACATAAAAAGTCCTAATGTAATAGGTAATAAACATTTCCAATTAAGATTAATTAATTGATTAAATTTTATACGTGGTAATACTGCTCTTACCCATATAAAAATAAATAATAATAAACATGTTTTAAGACCTAATGATAAAGGTTCTAAGAATATTAATATAGCATCAGAGAATAAATAAGAAAATGGTACTAAATAACCACCTAAGAACATAATATTAATAAGAGTACACATTGATATCATTGCACCATATTCCAAATAGTCCAATACGAAAGTATTGGGTTAGACTATACTTTCAACTAATAATTATTTATGGTATATAACCATAATAATTTTACTCTAATTAGTGTTAGCGTGTTGCAGAAATTAATTTTTATTTT